CAGGAGAGGGGAGGAGTTGGGGAGCGAGGTGCTAATGCCCCCCGCCCAACCAAGCTACTGCCTTGGAAAGGGCTTTGCACACAGAAGCATGGGGTGATGAGGCTGGGGGTGTCTGGGAAGCAAAAGGAACGGCAGATAACGTCAGAAGGCTTTTGCTGATGTCTTTTTTATGCTGTTCATTCTCTCTTGACCTCTCTTTTCCCCTCCCCTCCTTGGGATACCCTCCTCCCCACTCCTTTCTTTGCTCTACCACCCTGAATTGCCTCTACCCCCACCCTCCTCCTTGATCTCCCACTTCACTCTTCCCCTGGCTCTTCATCCTCCTCCCCCATCTGTTTCTCTTGCTTCCCTTCCCCCTCCCTCTATAGGCCACTAGGTCTCTACCATCCCCTACGCCACCCCCTTCTCTCCCTCTCTTGGTCTCAGTCTGCCTGTGTCTGCCTCCTTCAGCCCCTGTCTGTATCTCTAGGTCTCTCTCTCTTGGTCTTGGCCTCCCCTTTGATTCTTTCTCTTCCCTTTTCTTTCCTTTGGAATCAGGTGTGGGTTTGCGCTTTCACTGTGAGATCCCTGTGTAATGGCGCGTTCGGAATAGTCGCGGAGGTGGATATGCAGTGGAGCTGGGTGGTGCTCATCTGCTGCCTGACTGCCTTTTCCCAGGAAAGTTTCTTGTGGGGGGCTTGACTTGAGGTTTGCACATGCTTCATTCTTGACCACTTTTTATTTTCAAACGGATCTCAGCAATCCTGTGAACTTGGCAGAAATGTGGTATGAAAGGCCTGCTGGCCTTACCCCACCCCAGCCCCCTTCCATGCTGAGGTTCTTCGGTTGGGGCGGTGTCTCTGGGAATGATTCCTCAGGCTCACTAAACGGGTCAGGAAGAGAAGTAGAAAGCAAAGTTCTATATTAGCAATTCCAAAATGAGAATATCAGCACCACAAGGGCAGGCCTTTCTTCCTCATCTTTGAAATAGCCTTAGGTCATTTTGGGGAACAGGGAAGCTTGACTGAAAAGATTATATAATATCCATTTTATCCCTCAACATGTACAGCATAATGCTGTGCACATGGCAGGTGTTCAGGAAATGCAGGTTAAATGAATCTGCCTAACACTGGAGGGCATCTTTGAAAATCTCCTTTAACTTCCCACGTATGCGCTATGAGGGCTACTTCATTCTGGGCTCTAAACTTGTGCTTTTGCAAAGAAAGCATTCGATTGAATAAATAGTATTTAGGCTTTTGACTAACTATTTCAGCTTCCCTTACATCTTCATTGCTTTGCCTTTGGCTGTCCCTGCAGTGTTTTAGGAGAGCTGAGAGTTCCAATCTGCATCTCATAGGTGGCTGTGTCAGTTTTAGGAGAGAGTGAAAAGTATAGTCTGTATCACTTAGTGTGGAGTTGAGGAAGATGTGTTTCGCCCTCCACACTGCTGCTGGGAAGAGGGAATTGGGAAAGGAATGAGGCGGGCAGGTGTTGTTTGTTTGCCCCGCCTGACATTATATTTTAATTTTCTTTTTATTATATGTGCAAGACCTCTGGCCAAAAGTCATACATGTGCATGGTGGTTCATCCAGATTTGGAAGAGTTTCTCTTCTTGGGAAAGATGAGATGTGGAGTGAAAAATGTGGTGTCTGAGCATGCAGACTTTATTAATTTCTAAGTCCAGAAGGGATAATATTTTCCTCATCTTTTGAACTCCCCATCAGACTTTTTCCCACCTGCTCTGTAGAGACTGTCACTCACTTCCATATTCCTACAGCAATCTTTAGGGGACTGAAGCATGGTTTCTCTGTTGCCCCCTGCTCATAACCAAACATTTGTTTTACAAAACCTAGACCATCTAAACAAGGTCAGGTAGGACTGCCTGAAAGCCACCTTCCTCTGAGTGGTGTATCTTATGATAAGCTCCCTGGGGATGGGGCGCCAGACTCCTTCAGGCCCGCCGGGATTGTCTGCTTTCCTCCAAAGCCCATTTCTGTTTTTATGTAGTGATGCCAATAGGAGAAGTAGGAAATGGGAAAGAAGGGAAAATGACTCAGACGCTTGACAATCAGTCAGAATCATAACTGCACTTTCAAGGAACTCAGCCACCAAAGGAACTGCAGTCCTTTATACTTGTCTCCCTGGCATTCCCCACCCCTCCTAGGAGCAGTTACTCACCCCTGTGTTGAAGGAAGCTATGTGACGTCAGCAATTTCATTTCTTAATAAGCCAAATAACCCCTTATTATCTAACATGGATAAAATTGTTCCAGAAGGAAACCCTGGAAATATATATGTTCCATCTGGATGCGCTTGTAAAGGAAATAAACTTTGCCCCAGGGCTGCAGTTTTGCATTTCTTCCCTTTGGCCTGGTAAGAAAGGAGCAAGGCATTCTTTAACTTGAGTATGTGAGTGTCCTGAAATCCCGCTGTTTGGTGGACCGCTGCTGCTGGGTGCTAGAGCCCTGGCAGAGGCTGGCGAGAAGAATCAGAGTTTTCAAATGCGTGACACAGCAGTGGCTGCCGACCAGGAATGTTCTCTGTGGACGTTCTTACTCTTCCCATCTCTCTTTCCCTCTTATTATGTAAGTGCAATGAGCCAGATGCTCTAAGTAGGAGGGGAATGTGTGAATGTGTGTGTGTAATTCTAAGAGGTAACTGTTTTTAAATGGTGTGATTAGTCTAATTCTTTCTTGGTCACATGGATGGTTTAGAAAATTCAGTGATGAGGAAACCTTAATAACCCATTTCCTTTGTGTGTGCTAATATCTTTTTTCCGAAAAGATTATACAGTTTAATAGACTTATCTAGAAATTGACTTGGTCATGTATGTATATTCTGTGAAAGATATTAAGTTAAAGTTTGCTTATGTTTAAGTTAAAATTTGGTTATTTTAATGAAATGAGATAAAATAAATTTTTTAAAAAGTTCCTGGCAAAGCATAAATAAAAAAGTAAATAAACCAACAGGGTCCCTGTTGGCTCACAGTCTGTTACCTTTCATCACTTAGAAAAAGAGCCCTTTGGATCCCCCGCTGCTTCCTGTGCCACATGGGATAGTTAATCGTAAATAACTAGGGAATCGTTTCATCCACAGGTAGGTTTGGGATTAGATCACAGTGGGTTTTTTTAAGATGGTTGCTTTCTGCCGCTACTTCTCCTCCTCCGAGGACATGTGGCTGCAATAGCTCCTTTGCTACTTCCATCCCCAGGACTCGACTCTGATCCCACACTGGGAAAATCCCCACCTTCCATTTTCTGAGGTTGCAAGTTTTCCTTTTAATTTTTTCTAAAACCCCATCGTCACTAAATGGTGTATCTTGTTGTCTGCCACTGAAGTTTAAGAATATGTAATAAATTAAGGATAGTTCTGCATTGCCTCTTATCTGACTAGTATCTGTGGGTGTCAGCTGCCAACAAGTAGCTCGGGTGTCTGGGCCGCTCCTGAATACTCACAAGCTGACACACTCTCTTCTGATAAAAGGTACCTTCAAATATGCATGCGATTTTCAATACAAACTTTGTATGCTTAAACACTTCCCGCAAGAGAATCTCTCGACCTAATAAAATGACTTGGCTGGGACTTTTAAAAAGCTGGATGTAAATATCGCTAGAAATTATATGGCTAGCATAAATACTTCACTCTGAGCTTCGCCGAGCATTTTCCGAATGCTTCTGGGCCACATTTGTGAATAAAATGAAATCTGAGCTTGCGGACAAAAGGCATGGGGTGGGGGGAGGTGGTGAGTTGAACAGGGTCACCAGTCCTCCCAGGGACACTGGAAAGTAGCGGCTAGCCCCTAACATGGTTTCAATGGTGATAAAGGAAGAGTTTTGCTCTTTTAGTTCTTATCTAATTAACCACCCTCATTTTGATGATATGTGTACATATCTCATTTAAACATCTACATGTCTAAGTTCAGACATATCTGGCTAAGACTTATATTCAATCAAAACACATATTTTCTCCGGAGAGACAATATGTCTATGTGGACAATAAGACACTAGAAATCAAAACATTGTCAGTCTTTTGTATTTTAATAGAATATTTTATTCTAATACTGTGCAAGGTGCTAAGAAAAAAATCTATATCTGAGATGACATTTGAATAGAGTGAAGTATGTATTGTATTGCTTTAAAGCTATCCATTGTAGAAAAGGGTTAGTTTGTAATGGTGGTGGTGGTGGCGGTGGCGGTGGTGAAGGTGGTGAATGTTGAACCTGAGAACTGCTACGTCAAAATGCTGACATCCTTCTTTCAGGTCAAGAGATGACTCTCCCCTCATGCACATTCCTTTTTATTTTGTATAACACTGGTGCTCAAGAAGAGAAAAAAACATAATACACCATTTTTCTTACTGTGGTTTTACACTTGCTATTTTATTCCACAGCTTTTAATTTTATAATGAGGTCTTGATGCCAGGTGTCATGTAAGTGACTAGCTGTCATTGATTAGAATCTACTGTGTCAGTTTCTTTGTTCTGTCATCCTGCTTGTCTGATAGATCAGAAAGTGGAGTGGTTAACAAAGGAGTCATTGAGGTAAGGGAAGGTGTTTCAGACTAATTGGTGTGGATGCTAACTTTTCAGTGCTGATACGGTGTCCATTTTCTTACCATTTTCCAAGACTTCCTCCAAGGTGTCTCTTTGTTAGTATGGTCTCCCCACTCCCTCTTGCGCCCCAACCCCTGCAAAACACCAGCTTAATAAACAGAAGAGCAGATATGACCCCTGACCTTCTCCTGATCTTAATTCTGAACTGTTGAGTTGAATCCCTCGCTGCCGTCATCGGATCTCTCCTATCAGAGGCAGATGTATTCTCCAGGTTCTGTAAGTCATTTGGAATAAGAAATCGTGCTCCATATGTGGCCTGATGGTTCATACACACCCACGGCTACCACAGCTGGCAAACAGTGGTGGTTTATTTTGGGGCTGGTATAAGAGCCTGTGTCTGACGGCTGTGAGCGTCAGCCGAGAGCTGAGATTCTCATGTAATGTGGCCTCACCTCTTGTCTCCTTGCCCAGACTGCTCACTAGAAGCTCAGCCCAAATATGTCAGAGGTGGGAAGCGTTATGGACGAAGGTCCTTGCCCGAGTTTCAAGAATCGGTGGAGGAGTTTGCAGAGGTGACAGTGATTGAGCCACTGGATGAAGAAGCGCGGCCTTCACACATCCCAGCCAGCGAGCGCAGTGAGGTAAGAAGCTGGACGGGCGCCGTCATTTGGATCCCGAGTGTGAGCGCCCACGTCAGGAGAACTGACGGGAGTCCATGGCATGACGCGGCTTTGCTCAGTTACCAGCTCCTCGCTAATCTTATTACTTGCCTTTTGGACATACGTGGCTAATCTTAAATGTTTTCACCTCTGTTTCTGCTTTCGTGGAGCTGACTTTTCTGTGCATGTTTCGTGTGTACACATTTAGAATTCAAGTATTTTTATATTATCTGGGGTCTGCTACCTGTAGCTCTTCTTGGAAATATCTCTCTCCTCCATGGCACTGTCATGTGTAGTGTTTTTTTTTTTTTTTTTTTTGAGACAGAGTCTCACTGTGTTGCCCGGGCTAGAGTGAGTTCCGTGGCGTCAGCCTAGCTCACAGCAACCTCACACTCCTGGGCTCAAGCGATCCTCCTGCCTCAGCCTCCTGAGTAGCTGGGACTACAGGCATGCGCCACCGTGCCCGGCGTCCAATTAATTTCTTTCTAATTTTAGTAGAGACGGGGTCTCGCTCTTGCCCAGGCTGGTTTTGAACTCCTGAGCTCAAACAGTCCACCCGCCTCGGCCTCCCAGAAAGCTAGGATTACAGGCGTGAGCCACCGCACCCAGCCTGTCATGTGTAGTTTTTACAAAGCTAACCGACCCCTCCTCTCCCCACCCTGCCCCCAGTCCCAAACCATAAAACAGCATCAGTGATAGGTAGGAAATGAAAGCAATGCGTCTAGGCATTTTGAGAGCCAGCATCTTATCTTTTGTGGTAAAGCAGCTCAAACACTTGATTCCTGCCTCAAGACACCAAGCAGGGGTGCTTGCACAGTGCTCAGCAGCTGCCACGGTTCTGCTTACTGGTTCTGTTGCACCCGGGCATGTCTCGCTCTCCAGCGTTTGGAGGTTCGCCTGCCTCCCTCATCTCCCTTCTTTTCATTGCACACGTTGCCGTAATCTACCAATAAAGGAGGAGCATTAACATTTTCTTTATTCTTTCTTTACGGCTCATTTACCAGCATCCCATTTATAGAACATGATTGAAAATGCCATGCTGAGCAAGCTCTAAATATTTCTTGCAAATCCCAGCTCAGACTGGAGCTGCAGATACTAATATAAACCAGAAAGGAGACAAAGCATTTCAACTTTCAGAAAGTGGTCTGTAGATTGTAGGTTGATTTGGGTGTGCGTGTATGCACACATATGTGTTCACTGCTGTCTAACGTCTATGTTCAGCTTACTGTAATCTGCAGGAAGCTTACTCCCAATAATGTCCTCTGCAGTCAGACATTTAGCATCCTCAACTTTCCAGAAGACCCACAAACTCAAAGGTAACTAGAAAGAGCCCGTGTGTGGAGCAGAAATGCAACTGGCAATAAGTAGTGAAATTCACAAGAACACATGACTGGTCTGTTAATCAGAAGTCTGCATCATTTCTTTAAAACAAGTGATACTTGTCCTCACACCAGAAGTGAAAGAGCAGTAGCAGAAATGTTATTGAGAAGAGAAAGAGTACAAACAACTAGAAGAGAGAAAAACCACAAAGGTAGCGTAATAGTATGTGAGTTAAGAAGTGATGGCCGAAAACAGGAAAAGCCATGAAAAGGAGAAGGAAAACACTGCCTAGAACATCACAGAACCAGGAGGCTGCTCAGTCTGGGCCAGAGACTACTTCCCATCTTAGGTGCAGTTTCAGTGGTCCCTCCCCTTTCTTGGGTCCCTTTGAGAATTTAGATAGGGACCTTTCCCCAGTAAAACACATATACTCACATGCACGAAAATTTTATATATACAATTTCAGGAAGGCAATTAATGGGCATGCTTCAGTTAGTACAGCATTCATCATCTTTATCTTGCTGTCAGTAAGGGTATCATTTTATTACATCGTCTGTTTTGTAACCCTGAGTAGTATGGAATGTATTTGAGGCACTTCTCTGTGAAAAAATGGTTAAAACATTTCAACACATTAGGGAGTAAGTTTTTGTTATGTGGAAAACACTTTTACATCTAATATCTCATTTCTCCAACTATTTTCAGTCCCGAAGGTATTATTTGGTGCTAAGAAATTAAATGATTACTTATTTTTTGATATGATAGTTTCTAGTCCCCACCTGGAAATACCCAGAAAGTTCTTAGGCAGGTCTGACTTGTTACTGACAACATATTTTCTTATATCCTTGGTATATCTTAATCTGCTGATGTCCAGGAAAGTTTACTGTTTAAAAAGTGGGACTTTGGTTTCATGTGTAAATAAAGATAAGAACTGAGGCCTGGGTCCAGGCAAAATCTTATAGCCTGTGTCTCAGTAAAAGGATATATTGGGAGAATCATTTCACCCTTGATGTGCTACCACTTCCCATAGATCCTCCAGAAACCCCTTAGACGTGACCTCTTGATGCTATATATGGAAGCCATAGTGTGCAACACCCTCCATCAGCACAGCTGCAAACAGAGGCTCGGAGAGGGTCATGTCTCTGGACTTCTGTCCTCAGCAAGGACTCCTACTGACTCAACTTTGATATTATTATATTTACACCAGAACAAGGCCTACAGGAGAACCGGGTGGCACCTTTTTACCCTGCCTTTTTTTTAATTGCCAAAAGTGGACTGAAACCAAAGGTCATCTAGCTGCTTTCTTGCGTAAAAATGAAGTGTTTTGTAAGCTGAACTGAGCCTGTCAGTTTTCAAATCATTTCTATCTTTTCAAAAAAAATTAATAGCTTCACATGTGACATTTTTAATGTTCCTGATGACCGTTAAAAGGGCAAAGCCCAGCTTTGTGCAGCAACCACGGTTGAGGATCATACTCGCTGCCTTCACTGATGCGTGTACAGTGGTCCTGCGGTATGGTCTTGTCAGCGTGCCAGTCTCGTTACATACCATTGTGTCAAGATGGCATTCCTGTTTCCTGGCCAGTTTCCGTATTTACCTCGGCAATTGAGGGCTACTCTGTTGGCCAACGGGCAGCATGGGCTTGCTCCAAAACCCCCTGTCCCTTCTGCAGAAGCTGTCTAGGTCTCCTAGGAGACCCAGGTAATCTCCCCTCTTCTAGGGTGGCCTCCAGCTGGGGAGGGGAGGGACCAAAAAATTTCTCAGTGACCTATGGGATTTATTTACTCTTACAAGGACTTCTGAATCTGTCAGGAGTTCTTTATTGGATTGTTGGCTTCTTTTTTTCTCCCTTTTGGTTGCCCGAGGTTCTCTGGTCTCCTTTCGTTGGGGGTGTTAAGAATTTATTCCTCGGGTTCATACTTCATCTTGGTGCCACCAGGCCATATGGAAGGAGGGTGTGGGGCTGGGCCTCCCCTGATGTGAATATTTTGTAAGGAGTAGTCAGATGGGAAGCTGCAGACAGGCCGCCTTAGTTCCAATTCTGCCTCTCCTTTGACTCCTGAATCCTGGCTTCGAGGAAGGTGAGATTCTTGGCTTGCCTTTGGCCTGCAGTTTCTGCTGCTCTCAGACATGTCTGATTTTTCCTAAAGTGACTTTAGAATTTTTTAATGAAGACAATAAAAGGGCCTGAACCTGTCATAAATTAAACAAAGGGGAAGTCTGTTGCTACCCAACAAGAGACTAATTTTAGCTCTATGTTGAAACAAAGAATAATTTTATTTTTCTGAGGACTTGTGGAGGGGTGGGCCGTGGAATGAAACAGTGTCACAAGGACCTATAAAAGCTGATGGGGGGAGGGGGTGGGGTGCTCACTTCCTTCTAGGAACTCATCCTATGAGGGGATAAGTGAGCAAACAGTCATCTGAAAAGATAAAATAATAATTTCTCCCCTCTTTCCCTCTAAGGTTATTCAGTAGTAGGGGAGGCTGCCACGGTCAACAAGAATTCATTCCCAGGCTGGGTTAGAGGTTCATGATTTTTTTTTTCTGAATCCTTATTTGGGAGCCTTTCTCCCATAAGCATAACCAAAATTATAGGTCATTCTCGGTGACTACTGAGAATAATTCTCTGCAGTCTATGCATAACTCCACCCTCTCTCTCCCACTCAAGAAAACATCTAGAAATGCAGGCGAGTGAGGGTGAGGCTTTTATAGAGATTGCTTTGAAGCAACTACATTTATATTTAATGTAAGTCCTATATGAAGCTTCAGGCTTCATTGGGTACAAGTGACTGGGAGCAGGTGACTACTCACGGTGCACCGTAGGCTGTGATGTGGTGTCACGGGTGAGGGGGGCCCACCTTGTACATATGAGGCTGCAAATGTCCCACCACCTTGGCCTTGTCCCCTGAATAGGATGCATGAAGATAGACCTTGTCATGAAGTGTTTTTGCTCATGTTTGACTTTACTTTCCATTCATATATATTAAAACCCCAACATAAATTATAAATATTTTAATAGTCTTTATCCCATTCCTGCCTCCCCACCCCCATGCTTTTGTCAGGCAATTTGATTCTTTCCTGCTGGAACAGAAAATATCTAACCTAGCTATGAAGTGTGTCTCCCCCACTAAGTTTAGTGTACAAGGCAATAAAGCCATTCTGTAGGGAAGGACTACTGGGATCTTGCTAAATTTTCAGCACTAAAATGTGTATTTCAGAATTTCACTCGGAAACCCTGAAGCAGAATGTTTTAATTCACAAGTGACAGGCGGGTTCCACTATTGGGCTACAGTGTGTGTCCAACTTCAAATTTAGTGTGTTTATCTGGCAAATGGAGCCCTTGGGAGGCTGACCTCTCATCTCGGGTGGTATTGAAAGGAAAGTGGTGAATTTTCTTTTTCCATGGGATCATTTTCACCCAAGTCAACTGAGATGGACATTCTATTCCGGATTAATCCGGACTAACAAAGGGCACTTTCTTGATTCCTGCCTAAGGTGTGATTAGCGAGAAGGTTTTGGTTGTCACTGTTTTTGCTTTTACTTCTTTAGGAAACAGCAGTGAGATTTTAGATTCAGAAGAGTAAAATTTTCTCCTTTTTATATGAATAGCTACTGAACTGACCTTGAACGTTATGCTCATGTTTCTTCCAAGGGCAGGTGCAA